AGCTCAGGACAGCGGTGCTTCTTTTACAATGTAAAAATACCTAGCCAGCTCATGGTTTGTCTGAATTTTGTATCTCTGGTTGTAAAAACCAAAACATTGAAACCTGTTAGAATTCTGTAATTCCTGATTGTTTTGTTATCTGTTACTCAAGCCTTTGATGTTTTTTTCCTGATGCCTATGATGATTTCTCAATGTTTCTATATTATTTCCCATTGTCCTCACCTTCTCACCCATTCAGAATCTCATCACTGCCTTGAAACGGTGCACATGACCCACAACTTTTAAACAACTCTGTCTATGCTCTGGAAGCTCATAGTCAGTTCGGTATACTGGCTACCTGGCAGCGCTGTTGTTTTTTCTCTGTCAGAGAGGGATTCCTGGGGTGTCCTGCAAATAAACTGCAGAAACTGAATGTAGCATCTTCCGTGTGAGTCTGAATGTACATTCTCCTGGTTCTGAAATTCCGAGATTTCCCGACACCTGCAGTTCTCTGAGATTGCATGGTCGTTCCCAAATTAAACCATTTTCATTGACTAAAAAGTAGGGAATTGGGTGGACTCCATCAGATTCCCTGGGCTTCACTCTCCAGACTCTGGCCCGCTTTTTTGTGGCTGTGAGTTCAAGTTTCTGGTGAGTGCACTGAGTATCACATGGTGTCTGCTACACAAAGCCCACGTAGCTGCATGTGATTTACAGCCATTGTTTGTGCTGCAACTGATGCAGAAGAACATGGCAGGTTGCACAACTGGGATCCTGTGAATTTTTCACAGGCTTCCTGCTCTGGCTCATTTTCTAAGAGAGGGCCGAGCACAAGAGGAACTCTGCGTGTCAGGATCGGGGCCTGAGTGACCCTACAAGTGCCTGCAGAGCCAGGACATCTGGCAGGCTCTTGCAGGGAGCAACTCAAGAGCAACTGTGCAGTGCAGCTGGAGGTCCTGAAGACCAGCATGGAAGCCTTCCTGACACTGCTGTTCTTTGCCGTAGCGATGCAAGCAGTCTCTGGTGCTCCAGCCCTGCCCCAGCCGTACCGCCCTTGCTTTGGTTAGTCCCTGCCTTGTTCTGTCTGTTCCTGCCTGGCTTCTGTTTGATCCTGTGTACCCTAGTCTGCCCTTGCCCTGCTCCTGTGTGTTCTTGCTCGCTCCACGTAGTTGCTGTCTGCTCCAGCCCACTTATGTTGGGAACCCCCCCCCCCTTTATGTGACTGTTCCTGGCATCAGACCACCGGACTGTGTCTGGATTATGCTCCCTCTCTCCTATACAACATTGGATTGCCTGCTGTCTTGACCCTGACCCTGGGCTGCTGACCACAGCCCGCCTCTAGCCCTACTGAGCGGCAGGATCTCACTTTGTATCAGCACCCTGGTCCTGGTGCTCTGCCTTTCCCGGCTGGCCCTTTCGCTGTGCGCTGCACAGGGGCGGATTCCATGGAGCGTCATTGCAACATTACTAAAGGTGCCATGGATCAACGGTGCAAGAGAACCAGAACTGGAAAAGTATTTTTCGTCTGATTCTTAAGCACTGTAGGCAGCATGCTCCACCTCTGAAGGGCAAGCTTCCTCTTCCCCCCCTGGTAAGGACTGGCGGCATTGTAAAGAAAAGCAGACATTTGAACCATTTTATCCTGCTGTTCAGGTCTTTTGATTGCATTTACTACCTTGCTTGAACAAGAGCCCTGGAGTAACTGAAGAACTTGCACAGACTTTTGTGATCCTTGAGTTGGCTTACTAAAGGCATTACAGTGATAAATTGCAAAAATAAAACTCCTTTTATTTTCCTTTGGAATTCCTCTAAGATGACACCTGCTATACAGGTGCGTACCACTGACCTCTCCCCACTGACCCCAAATATCCTTCTTGCTGCAGAACCTTTTATTTATTTTTTTAAAAAACTTTCATATTCCATCCACCACTGAGATCTTGGGAAGGTCTTAAAATAAATCATTTATTAACCTTTGCAGGCCAGATATAATTGCTTTGGGTGAGGAATTGCTGCATCTGGATGTCTGGCCTCCATTTGGCTAATGCAAAGCCGAGCCACATGGGATGCAAATCTTGGAGCCTCATCCCTGCACAATACTCTGCCTGGCAAGATGGTTTCACCCTCCACCTCAAACGCCTACTCTGCTCACAGTAATGCAGGCCCCAGAAGGGACTCCCCTTCTCTGGGCAGGGCCAGATTTAATCCAGGTACAAAGAGCCGGTTGACTGGCTGCTAGGAGAAATGGGATTCAACATACATTTCTGCAGTGCAGGAGGTGGGTAGCTTTCCTGCCTTTCTGTGCCCTTCCTGGCCATAGTTGCGGGGCCCCAGTCTTGGCTGTTTCTTGTGAGCCTTGTTACCATGGAAGGAAAGCAGCAGGGGCCAAGGGACTGGGGTGCAGCTCCCGGCACGTTCTGGGGGCCGGCTATGCAGCTCCCCATGCCTGGAACTCATCCACCCTTGCTCTATCGCATTCCTCTGAGGAGATGCTCTCCCTCCTATGTTTTATCCTTCCAGCCATCCTGTGAGGTGGGCTAGGCTGAGAGGTAGCTTCATGGGGAAGCAGGGATTTGAGCTCTGCTCCCAGGCTATTGCTCTAACCACAACACCACACTATCTCTAGAAAGCACCTGCAACAACGGAAAAACAATTGCTTACCTGTTCATTTCCCCATTGTTTTAATGTTTAGTTGCTTTTAATGTGCTTTTTATAATATTGAATCATTGCATGCTGTGCCCTGTTTTTATTTGTTGCTTTGTTGTAAACCGTCCTGAGATGCCAGTAGCTGGACGGTCTATAAAAGCCTTTGAATTAATGAATGGATTAATGAATGGATTAATAAAAATGCTGCATCATCATACAGTTGCTTGGAAGGGCCCTCAAACAACTGGGCCTTCATCCCAGCTTGTCAGGGGGCAGCTTTCCTGCTTTGCCACTCCAGCTTCACAGAACACGCTGTGACAGTTCATTATGCTTGGTGTTTGCAATTATACATCAGATGGCAATCACTGGGCTCTGGTATCTGATTTCCTCTTATCTCAGGCAATTAAATTTCCTACGTAACGAGGACTGTTGTATCTCTGACGGACTGAAGACAGATGAAGAACAGATACATTTGCCCGAACGTCATCCATGCAAAGTCGACGGGCCTCTAGTGCCCCTTCTCACAAAGAAAGACAAATGGCCCATCTGGAGAAAGAATTGCGTGTTACAGAATGGAGCTGTGCTGTGTGTGGAACGTTGCGTCGGCACAGAGGTGCTCGTGAGCGGAGCTGGGCAGGCGGCATCACAAGTTCCTTCTCTACCTGTCCCCATTCATAAGATTCATTTCCTTTTCAGGATAAAAGGGAACAGGACAGCAAAACACATGCATTGCATGCAGAAGGCTCCGGGCTCAGTCCTGCCTCTTCCGATGGGCTGGGAAAGACCCCCACCTGAATCCCTGCAGAGCCAGTGCCTGACAGTGTAGACAAGGCTGGGTGGCATCAACCGTGGGTCAGCTTCAGTATAAAAGCATCATTGTCTTGATGCAGCACTAATGCGCATTCTTTAGTTTACAGTGAGAATGCTGAGTAAGCTGGAATTTATTGGCTATGGGGCAATGTTTTCAGTTTTTGCTCTCTTTTTCCCAAATCGTGAAACCATTTGAGCTGGATATTTTAGGGACTGTTTGGCTTCTTATCTTGCAGTTGTCTGGGGAAACTTATTGGCTGAAGGGTACATTATTATATGTTTTAATAATAATACAAAATAAATGTTTTGTTCTGGTGGGGTGGGCATGGTCTCTTTTCCACAAAGAAGTAAGGCATCAAGAGGCCTGCAAATTACATGTGATGCTAAATGAATCATTAGCAAATTTGTTAGTTGTAAATTTATTTAATAACAGGTTCCTCCTCCTTAGCTTCACTGTGGGGGGTGGGGTGGAGGGAGGATAATCTTCATCAGATTTATGGAATCCTTTGCTACTGTTAGCTTATGAATCTGGCTTGTTTAAACCATGACCATAAGCCAACAACAAACCATGATTTCTATTTGTGGTTTGGAGCTGATTAACAAACTATGGCTTGTTTGTAGGAATGAATGTGGATACACTGGCCAGGTTCGCATGGGCAAAGAGGGAAAAGCCATGGTGACTTCTTTTCCCCATTGGAGGTATGCTAGCCTTGCACTGTACAATTTGCCTACCAGTCTGCAGCTTCCTGTGTCCTCTGAACCATGGGGCATGCCAGGGCATTGCTTTGAAACCACTTCAGCACCTGCTAAGCATGTGGGGGTGTCTGGAGGAAAGAAACCGGGCTTGTAAGTTCCTAGTGTCCTTTTGTCACAAGGAAGTAGTTCCGGAAAAGAGGAAATGTTCTGCCAAGGAAAGACATGGTCTCAAACAAATTCATACCCTGAACCAAGGAAAACTAGAACGATAGAAATGACAGTGAAAGGAAATGCAAATGTTGCCCAACAAAAACAAGTTCTGGATAATGTGCTAGTGATGAGCACCTTCGCACAAGTGTTGTGTATCACTGCACACTGTGTTTGTTTATTTACGTATATTTATAGGCTGACGCCTTCCTAGGTGGCAGTTTGGCATGTTGCAGGATTTATTTTCTTTTAAATGATAGAATCTTGAATTATCTACTTTTGCAGAAAAAGTACCATGGCAGTAAAAGGCAATGAGGCATCACAGGGTCATAACGGCAGGGGATGTTAAAAGAGGTCACAAGGAAGGGGCAGATTACTCTGTGAAGGAGAGAAGCAGAATGCTCCTGGCCAGTGAAGCCCTTTCTAAACCACTTCCTTCACCTTCAAGTACTTCTTTATAATCCCGCAGGCTACGAATTTCCTGTCAAAACTATCCTTCACCCTGCACAACATTCCCAGGAATAAAACTGTGTGCTGCATGACCTGATGGGCATGGAATATCAGGGCTTAACAGCTCTATCTGGCGATGCAGTGCCCCGCTGAGCATTCCCCAGCAAATGTTCAATTTGCTTGGAAAATGGATTTGCTACGGAACGTGTTCTTACCTCTGAATTAATTTTAATTGTCTCTTCCGTATGGTACAATAAGAACTTTTGCCCTGAAGAGGATACATTGACGTACACCTGCAAGCAGGGGTACTGAGAGATCTTCCCACAGTCTGGACCACAGTTGAAAGAGCAGTTAAAGGTTTCTGTGATGGAGGCATTGAGGAGTGTGCACTGTGTCTCTTCTGTCCAAACACTGACAAGGAAAGAAAGAGAGAGTGGGAAAAAATAAGAGAGAAAGTTGAGACAAAGCAGGCTCTCCAAAAGGGCTGCAAGGATCGGAGCACTGTTTTAGCAGAGTACCACACACTGATTTTCTTCAGAATTGTCCATATCTACCTGCCAAAGGGCCCTGCCTGCTAAAATGGCAGGTGGGACCACTCCCAGCCATCTTGGAGGAGAATACCCTGCCACTGACCTGGGGATCTACAGATGTGTTGAACCATAGGTTACATAGAACCAGAGCAAGTCAGAAGAGGCCTCCCGGGCCATCTAGTCTGACCTCTGGCACCAGCCGGCTCCACTCATGACATGCCCACCATGTCCATGTCCAGCCTGTCTTTGAACACCCGCACCAATGGGGCCTCAACGACCTCTCGTGGAAGCCCATTCACACCCTCGGGGTCCCAACTGTCAGGAAGTGCTTCCTGGCATCCAAATGGAACCTTGGCTCCCTGAGCTTTGTTCCGTTGGAGCGCGTCCTGCCTTCCTCTGCAGGGGAGAACAGGTCTCTACCCACCTCTGTGTGACATCCCCTCTGAGTCTCCTCTTCTCCAGGCTGAAGAGACCCAGTACCCTCAGTCCCGCCTCATATGGCATCCCCTGCAAACTGGCCACCAACCTTGTGGCCCTATGCTGCACTGACTCCAACCTGGCTATATCCTTCCTGTAATGAGGGGCCCAAAACTGAGCACAATACTCCAGTTGTGGGCACATCAGAGTCATATAGAGTGGTAGTAATACCTCTCTCAATCTAGAAGCTACACTTCTGGCTATGCAACCAAGGGTGGCATTTGCCCTCTTGACCACCGCATCACACTGCTGACTCATGTTCAGCCTGCAGTCGACCAGCACCCCGAGGTCCCTTTCACAAGCGCTGCTCTCCAGCCACTTGTCACCTAACCTGTACTTATGACACCTATTCCTATGCCCCAAGTGCAAGACCTTGCACTCATCCACATTGAACGCCATCCATCATCCACAGCTAGCATGGGTCTGGAAGACCCTAAGTTGAGGAGAGAACAAGACCTTTGCAATCTCTGGGATGCTGAAGACCATTCCAAAACAACTGTGGGTACCAAATCGAGCAGCAGATGCATGAACTGGCACTGGGTGCAAGGGAGCATTCGTCATTTTGGAGCAACTCTTCTGGTTTCTGGCTGATTTCTGGGGACACTTTAGAGAGCAGGTTGGAACTGATAAAGCCCTCCAAGGCTTGGGACTTGAGTACCAGAGGAAGAGCCATCTGCCCTTTTCAGATACCTGTCCAGAGTAACAGACAGGGCTCAGAAACACCCCCCCCAAGCCTCCAACTGGCTGAGATAGGCAGGCACTTCTTTCAACTTGGCACCCCAGCCTTGGGATGCCCTTATTCTTACAGTCTTGCCTTTATTTTATCTCTACTTTCCTTTCGGTGCCAGGTGAAGACATATCTCTTTAGGAAATTTTTTAATGATAAGTTTGTGTGCTGTGGCCCTTTTTAATTGTTTTTATAGATGTTTAATTCATTATGTTTTAATTGCTTTTCAATGTGTTTTTCTTCCGTTGGTATGTTTTACATTGCTTTGCTGGTTGTATGTGGGAGAGGAGCTATCAGAAGCCTGGAGCTGAGGTGATGCATCCCGTTGGATGAACCTTCGACCTTTCACCTGCTTCCCACACTGAGAACTGCCCTGGGGATTTGGCTGCTTTTCCTGGTGCCTTTGTGATACCAGCAGCAATGGCTGCAATACTTCCTTTCCCAGAACACCAATTTGTGAGTCACAGGTCTTACAACTCTGTAATTCTTCACAGTCCCCAAAGCAAAGGGTAAAGAAGGGGCGTTCCTATAAAGGTGGGAACTGGGCCCCAGCCCAAGGCAGTTTGCTAACTCAGCTTCAGTCCCTGAAGCAAAGGACGAGAAGTTGCCCCTTCATCCCATGTCCAAAAGCCCCTTTCCATGTGCAGAAGTTAAATCTTACTGAAACGCTGGCTATGGGCACACGTGTCCTTTCTAAAAAGGGGGGGAATGGTTGGGTGGAGGGGGCAGCATCCCCAGCTTTTGCTGCCAGAGACAATCAGTTCACTCGGCGTCATGACAGGGCTGTCCTGGGGTAGGAAAACAGCCTCTGTCTGGATAAGAGCCGGGAAGCAAAGCCGGCTTGGGAAAGAGGGGCAAACTCCTCAAGCTGTGAGGCAATGAAGGAGGAAGAGGAGGAGGAGGAGCTCCATTCATTATGCAATGTTATATTGAGTTGCCCAGGCAACAGGAGCTCACCCTCCCTCTAATTTGTGTGCAGTGCCTCCCCCCACACTCCTTTGCCAACTGGTGTGAACAGTTGTCCCAAAAGGAGTCCATTCATACGGCAAACTGTTTGCAAACCAGAAGTGATAGGAAGGCTGTCTCTAGCTGCATGTCCTCATCATTTGGGATTCAGAGCTATGCTGCTTCTGAGCCTGGAGGCTCTACTGAGCTGCCAAAGATAGTATGTATTGGCAGGCCATGAATTTCTCGAACCCCCTTGGAAAGCCGCCCAAACACGCTTTTTTTTTTTTTTTTTTTGCAATGTTCTATTTCACTGGTGCATTGTCAGGCTCAATTAATTTCAGGTCATGCCAGTGCTTCGAGATCCATGGACGGCACATGGGGGATTGTGTGGGTTGCAGCATCAACCGGTGATTCCAGAGGAGCAATTTGACCTTAGCCGTAATTGGCAGGGATGTCTAATTAAGGGTGCCCTGACACAACAGCGATTCTGAAATGTAAAGAAATACCCCTTGCTGGCTTTCTAATCTGGCTTCTCTCCAAAGAATTAACCCTTTCTGAGACAAAACAGTTCCTGATAATCACCATGGAAATCAGTGAAGAAACTGTTTTCTAGTTATGGGGCAGGAGGGTGGGAGGAAAAGCCACCCCTTGCCATTCTGTCTTGGAGTTGTCACCTGGTGACGTGGGCCTGCTGCTGCTAGTGGCCATTTAGCACATTTCCACATGACGTCATGTGTGCGTGGCAGGATATGGTCGCTGCAGCCAGGAAGGAAAAACCACGTCGTAGTCCAGCTTTCTTCAGTGTGGCGCCCCATGGATGCCATGGGTGCCTGTGACACTTCTCCTTTGGTGCCTACTGGAGTCCCTGCCTCTCCTGGTTTTGATTTCTTAAGAATACATTATTTTTAAATGGGAAGATGGCTCTTCTGGAGGGCAAATATTTTCCCATTTCAAGTGTCACATTTATTTGGACTCAAAAGACTGGTTTTGCATTCCCTACTGCGGACCCCACCTCTAAGATTTAAATAGGTTACTGAAAGCAAATGACCTTTCTTCTAGACTCACAGGGTTTTTCGGGGGGGGGGGCGGGGAAGAGTGTTTTTTTAACTGGCCATGCCCAATGGGTTGGCTATGCCATGAAAGCACCAGTGACATTCTCTTGAAATTTCAAACGTGCCCATCAAACCAAAATGAGTGGTCCAACATATTTGGAGAGCACCAAGCTGGAGGTGCTTGTCTTAGGTAGACTTGGTGAGGGATGCTTCTCCAAATCTGATTCTGGTTTCATTCTTGCTCTTTTCAGTCTTAGCGTGGCTCCGAGAATATATTTCAGGGCTGGCTGAGGGGGAACAGCTGCTTAAGAGCACAAGGAATGAATCACAGGGCACAGACCAAACCCTCTGCTGTTTTACTGAGAGAGGAAGCTCCAGAAGGTTGGAAAACATTACTCAGAGGAGCTACGAGAAATACAAGTGAACACATCTCTTTCCAAGCAATATTATTAGATAGAGCAGCAGGATTTCCACTTGTGAGGAGGAAGGTATCAGCTCTTCGCACAAAGGAAAAAATAACAGCTCAAAGTACTGTAAAATAGCTTGGTCCTTTTCACAAATTAAGCGCCCATCTGTGCCATTTTTTTCTTTTTTTTGAAAGCGTATGTTTTTCTCTAGGCTGCTGCTGCTTACTACTCCCTGCTGAATGAGGTGGGGGCTCTGTTTTGCTATGAAAGACACTCAGTGTTTTATGGATTTCACAGATTAGCCAATATGGATATTAGTTGAAAAACCATACTGTGAGGAAAAGGCTCCAAAGCCTTTCATTTCGCTGCCGCTCTGATTAATCCAGGGCTAAACAATGACAAGTGAAGGAGATCATCTATACGAAGCCAGTTTTGGAACACTAAATCCCACCACTAGAAACTCAGTACCATTTCTGCATAAAACTGCCAAGTCTTATTTTTGGGCTACTTCAAAAAAGAAAAGAAAAGAAAAACCCATATCCCTATATTATGAATCAACAGATGGGTCCTCCTGGGTCCTGGTATAAATTTAGGGCAGGAATGGAAGCGCATAAGGGTGAGCACGGCGTGGTGTGGAACCTGCTGAGGGCTTGCACCCCCAGCAGGGGGACACCGGCAACTGCCTCTAGGAGTGCCTTTGGCTCTCCACAGTTGCAGCCTGCTTGTTCTTTTGCCTTTTGCTCTGGTCCAGACAGCAGTGCTGATGGTGAGAAGGAGATGCAGGGGATGCTCCGGGCTGCTTGCTCACTGGCTTTCTGGCTGTCAGTCAAGCACATGGTAGCAACGATGCAAAGGAGGAGGCGGAGGAGCAAGAGCAGCTGGTGACCAGGACAGGGAGAAGGTGGACACACTGAGGGAGGGGATCCCTTGGTAAGTGCATCAACCTCCATCCCATGTGGTGGCCACACTAAGCAGTCCACCCCCTTTTGCCCGCATGCTGTTCTAGAAAGTGCATGTAATCTAATCTGTATAGTAAGGTCAGATGGTTTGTACTTCAGTTCACTCACCGTTTTCCTGATAAAAATTTCCTTGCTTTGCTTTTTTGAGGACTACTTAGTTGTCTCATGAGGCATGTAGCCTCATCTTGAGTTGTAAACAAAAAGTCCCTTGGCAAAGTGGCCAAAAGTATACCACAGCTTAGCTAATCAGGCTGAACATCTATCAGAAAGCCACTACTACTGAACATATTGAACAGGCCAAAATGGAAACTTATTTGACTTCATCTGACCTCATGACCCCAATTTGCTCCCAAGGCACATGGATATTAATCAGCTTGACACTTTGCGTAATCCTCGTCACTGTAATACTAACTTCTTTCAAACTCTCAAGAACTCTCAAGAACAAATTAATGCTAAGCTTTTTTCCTATCATGATTCTCTTCTATCCCCATTCCAATAGTCAACCTGCTAGAGCCATTCATAGAGGGGGAGGAAGAGAAGGGGGCTCTCTAGAGAACAGGCAGGCCTCCATCCCCTGCTTCTGGGCAGGTAGCTTTGTTTCAATCCTCAGACTCTGCTAACTCCTCCATGAAGTACTGGAGAAACTTCTTTCAGCAGAACATCAAGTTCATGGGCCACAGAAGGCACCCCAGCTTTGTTAAAGCAGGCACTTTTGAATAGCACAGAGCTCCTTTGACTCTTGGCCAAGCTTCCTCCAGAAGTGGACCTTTGCAGATGCCACTCTTTGCAAGCCTACCTAAATCCCAGTTGCGGCCTGGATCAGCTCCATGAGGTTGCCAGTGAGATTGTCACTTGGCTATATCTTGTATCAAGCTCAACCGTATTTTGGGCACAGCTGAACAGATCATCCCTGCCAGTCCTAACCTGAAATGAAGCCATGTATACCATGCCAACAGAATCTGGCTTTTATTCTGAAGCTGCCCATCAACCTCACACCAAGATTGGGCAAACTTTGTGTCCTCTGGAGACATAATTTCCTTAATGGTCCCTGCCATCAGCCTAGTGACCCACTGATAAGCTCAATTGGCCATTTGGAAGTTCATGCACAAGAGAGGATGATACCTGAAATGGTGTGAATACTTCATCAATCAAGTGACTAAAAAGGCATTTGCATGTTACCTAAAGCTCGCAAAGTGCTGTGTTGCTCACAACTAACATGAATGATCATTCACTGTTAGAAGGAAAAGCACTCTAATAATGGGTGTGCTTGCACATCATGTGAACTCACTGTGGGGTAAAAGGCACGGTGGTGTGGCTGCTTTGAAAATGACTCAAGGTGAGCTTGACAGATGACCAGGCTCCCAGTGGGTTGTTGGCCCCCTGCTCTTCCTTCAGTTCCCCTGAAGGTGTTCCAGGAGACAGTATGGGAAAATGGGTCATTTCTCTCCACCCTATTGCTTGCCACCCTTTTCAGGCTCACCCGGTCATTTTTTTTTTTTTTAACCCTGGGAAATATGACTGTGGGTGTCCACAGCAGCCCCTCCAAAATTCCACTGGACACCCAGAAGGGACTGCCTGTAGCTGTCAAAATGGGGACCGTGAGAGTCAGTTTGACAGCCAACTTATATGATTCAAAAGGAAGGGCAGGGCAGGGCAGGGCAGGGCAGGGCAAGTGTAAAAAAGCCACAGTGAGCTTGAAATGGCTTTTGGTAGAAGTGGGGAGTGGGGAAGCCAATGCCAGCATGTCCCAGTGGTTGCTTGGGTAATTGCCCTAGTGGCTTGCGCAACCAGAGCAGCAAAGGGGTTTTGCTCATCTTGCCATGGGGCTCTGTAGTTGATTCTCCATACCCATGAAGGGTTTGGTTGTCTGGTTGTGGATGATACAACAACCCGTTGTGGGTTGAAGAACTCCTAGAACAGTGCATGAATTGTTGGGGCGGCTTGTCTCTGTGAGCAAGCCACACTGGGGAAACTGGTCTGGGTTTGGACATGTCAACCTATCATGAATACAATAACCTCTACAAGAGTCCATGGACTGTTGAGTTGGTGTGCTGCTTATAAACAAGCCATCCTGGAGAAATCAGTCTGGGTTCTCATGACATGGTTTGCCTGTCCTTTTACTGGAACATGCCAGTCCTGGAAGAGCCTTAGCAAAGTATGTTCTTAATTATCAGCATATCTTTTAAAAATTTGCCTCCAGTTTAATCAACTGAAGCTTTAGTTAATAGGCACCGAACTGTAGGCCCATGGGCCAGATCCAGACCATCTGGGCTCCCAAATGAGTTGGCAACTGCTGATATGATTTCATATTTATATCTAACTTTTCTCTGAAAATAGCTACTTAGTCACAGATGGTTCCTCCTAAAAGAGATCTGGAGGCATCATTTATTACTCAGCCTCCCCATTTTGGAAAGAATTTGCTGACCTACAGGCTCCAGAGGTTTCCAAGAAGGCATCCACGGACACCTTAGCTGGTTCCCACCAAACTCTCTCTCTCTCCTAATTTTAATTTTATTCCTTAGGGTTTTTCTTTTTACTTTTTTTCAATTGGAAGATTGCCCTGGTGCAAAGCAAAACACAGTCCTAATTTGGGTCATAATCTTTTAGATTCAAAGAGTGGTTTTGTATTTTGGAGCTTAAACTCCCTCACCTCTGCCTCGTAGTTGGGCTTTTGAGCCTGTTCCCAATTTGCCTTCTAGGGATCAAGAATTTCGTACTGTCTTGTAGCAATCATTTGATGAAGGAGAGAGCCCTTCCCTGGGAGTCATTGTTTGAGAGAGCCTACAAGATTCTCTCAACATTCTAAATGCATTTCTTGATACAAAAAGTTTACTTTATTTATTAATAAATAATTATTGCTTATTTTTTATTGTTTCCCCCCTCCCTGCTCATGCCTCTTAGATTGTTTCTATACAAGGCTGGTAATCACTGTATCTATCTTTGGTTTCATCACCACATTAAGATCCAAGCTCTGTTCAAAAAGCAGTTGCTTTCCTGCTTTTCTGCTCCACACCCTCTAGGTGAAGGCATGTTGCAGCAGAATAATGCAAATAGCCCAAAAAGAAAAAAAAGCTTCATTTTCCATGTGGTAATTTAATACTTCATTTTCCCTGCTCTAAAAAAAAAAAAAAAAATCAGGAAAGTGCTCCAAAACCCAAGAAAATCTGCAGGCTCATGATGTTATCTAAAGAACTGGTAAATAACCAAAAGGACTCATGAAAGCATAATAAAGCTCTTGCACAGAAAAGCCTGAAAATCTTCTTATCCTTCTTCTGACATTTATTCTTCCCTTCATCTTTCATGATTAACTTTCACCCTATCCCTGAAAGCCATTTCTTGTATCATTTCTTTTTTATGCTTTTGCCTCCACTTCTTCCTGTAACAGCTTTCTTCTCTTATTCCTTTCCACTTTATTCCCAGTTCTTAAAAATCATTATTAATGTGATGAGAAAAAAAATAGCCTTGGTCTTTAGCCACCCCCTGCTGCCAGTCACACCTGTTCAGTGTGCATAGCTGTGTCCAAGGCACAGAGCAATCAAGCTCAGAGATGCTCAGGACTGAGACCCACCTGGAGATTGGCTGTGAATCTTGACCCACAGTCTCAGAAACACTGGGTGGGCTTCCAAACACAAGCCACGACATTTTCTTGCATGGGATAATCTATTCTGTCATCTGTTGTCTATTGTCATTCATCTGTTGTGATATCTCAGCTTTGGTTTGTAGAAACCTTAATAAGAAGCAACCGTCTGTTCCAAGGTTTCTATGCTTCACCATGGTTTCTCTGGTCATCCAAACCCAGCATCATGGTTTCTTCCACTAAGTCTCCTGGAAAGAGTGGCAGCTGCTGATTTGGTCATACAGTGTGGAGTTGAATTTAGGGTAGCTGAGAGGATATGTACCAACAGAGGGAGGGCAGAGTGAGGAAGGTGGAAACTATGCTAGTGTAGAAACTACCTAATCATCTGTCAGGCATATTCAAGCAAAAAAATTGAAAGCACACAGGGTTGCTTGTTGTGACATGTGAAACCAGTCACTGTGTCTTTTTGGGGCATTCTAGGAGGAATTGGTGGCTGACAGTCGAGGAAAGCATTATTTCCCTGTTCCAGCCATCACCCCCTCACCCTTCCCTCAGAATAGCCCAGAATGATGCAGTATCCTGGTCATTCTAACAAAATACAACGGCTGTGGTAAGCAGAAGCCCTCTCAAACCAGCCCTACTGGTTCGTCAGCTTCAGTGAGAAGAATGACTATTTCTGGCACACTCCACTTTCTAGGTCCAGAGCCTGGGCATTTTGGTTTTTGAATTTGGATTCAGATGCTCTTAGAACAATATAATACAGGGGAAAGGAAAATTACCTTTGCATGTACGACCTCAGCAGCGTGATTCCCAGGAGAAAGTACATCATAATGGCGCAGACCATCATTGTCAGTCCAAGGAGTATCGCCCGGTCCTCTCCTGCTTTGAGAGCGGTGACTGTTTTCCTTTTGTCCAGGAGGTCATGATCCCTGATTTTTTGGTAAATATTTCTGAGGTTGAAAACAATACATTCTTATGTGGAGTTCACACTTAATCAATAAACCCTCTGAAAGGACTGACGCGTCCGCCTCCAGGGCCTGTCTCAGGGGAGATCCAGGCTTTGAGCCTTCCGTAGCTGATGTTTTCTGAACAATTTCCTCAGACCTGGCAGGGAAAGATCACTGACATCCAAAATACACAGTAGAGTGAATAGATTGAAATGTTTTTGAGGGCTTTTCTCATGCCTGGAAATATTTCAGCTTTGAGCAGTAGGCTTGCAAAAGCTGAAGTGGAACATAGCTTGCAATCCTTAAATTAGAGCAGGGCAACTTGTAACCCTCCATATGCATTGGTTTACATATTCCGTGAAACTTCATTGTTGTAAATGCTGGCTAGGGCTACTGGGGGTTGAAGGCGAAATCAGCTGTAAGCCCATAGGTTTCCCACCCACTCCTTAAATCATTCACACCAAAGGAATTTATGGGTGCATTCGGCAAAATGAGTTGAAGCAGCAGTCCTCAAAGTTCACCTTTGATGTTTGTATTCTCATAATTTCTTGACACAAGATGTGTTTACTGTGATGTGTTACATGTTGGGCTGCCCTGGGAGACAATCCAAAAAATTCAACAGGTCCAGAAAACAGTTCTTAGGGTTCTTTGTGATGCCAACTGATTGGCTTCTACTATACCTGTTCTTTGGCTACTTCCCTGATTGTCAATCTACTTCTGAGCTCAATTCCAGGTGTTGGAACTTCCTCTAAATCCACATTATTTTAGGATTCAACTCTCCCCTGCCACTGTAAGAGGGAACTTCTATCAACATCTGAGACTCTTCTCTCTGTCTTGTAATTGAAAATAGATAGGGACTTTTCAGTGGTGGCGCCCAGATTATGGGCTCACCTTCTTAAAGAGGTGCATGCTGCTCCATCTATGACCCACATTTAGGTGATCTTTAAAAACAATTTTTTCCCAGTGGGCATTTTCAATAGTTCTGTCTCTTAGTGCATTTAAATCTGCTTTTTATCCATTTTTATTTTACTGCCGTGGTTTGATTTACTATTCTATTCTACTGTATTTTAAAACCTCGTGAGCCACTCTGAGTTCATCTTGATGGAGGCAAAATGCAGATTACAGAAATAAATCCATGTCAGGGTAAATTGGAGGCTTAAGGTGTGCAAAACTTGTGCTCTGTCACTGGGCAAAGGTCCCTCCACTAGGAGACGCCACTCTGCACAACAAGAACCGCACAGTGTTAGAACCTAGCAGCCAATGCCAAACAGGGCAGCACCATTCAGCAGTCTGCCTCCTGTCTGTAATCGGTCCTCCTCCCCCGCTCCTGATGTTATTGTTCCAAGCATTTCCCCAACTAGCAGTGGGAAATAATGCGGAGCAAGAAAAGGGCAGGGAAGGAGCTGATGAGCCGTGTGTTAAGGGGATGGCAAAGGAAGAATGACCTTGGGGGCACCTCTTGCTAGAGAAAGGAAGAAGAAAATCCCTGGATGCTTTGCAACGTGCCAGCCTTGCAGGTGGATAGCTTTAATAAATTAAAATCAGGAATTGCACAGAGCCTGGTGGGTGCTGGGAGAGGTATCCGAAGACACTGATTGGTCATGGACACCATATTGGAACCCTAGCTTTTTTATAATGTTTCAGAATTTATTCATTCATTTTGCAGGAGCATGAGTGTTCCCAGCATTTGATTTCTATTCTTTCTATCCTTTGGTGAGGCCATATGAGCCAAATCCAGCAGGCACAGAGAGGGCCTGGCGAGTCGGGCATGGACCCAGCTTAATACGGCAGCTCAGGGGCGGAGCTCTTGAGATCTGCAGAGTCAGCATAGAGTCTGGCCTATTATGTCAAGTCAGGGCCATAGACTGAATGGACTCTTGATTGGGGCCATGGGACGTTCTGGGTGGAATCATCTAAGCGAGGGGTAGAGCCCCTGTCAGTCTCTGAAGCTTCATGTCTTTGGCTTTAAATCCTTGCACCCTGACAGAGCCTAGCTCTTACTGGCAGTAAAGTATCAGCTGGTTGGCAACCCAAAACTGAACAAACCATCAGTGGTGATATTCAGCTACATTGATCCTTAGGCCTTTTTTGGATATCTAGATTGTACTGCTATGCTTAGCAACTCCTGTGCGGTTATTCTGATTAATCAGAGGCACTGGTGTGCCTCCTGCTTGTTATTGGACACCTACAGGCACAGTTAAAACTCCTTTTTGACTGTAGTTGGCATGCTCAGCCAGTGAACTTTGCCGTTCCACTATTTATTTATCGAAGCTGCTGCTACACTGCTTGGCATGCCAACATCTCCAAGCCTTTTACTCAAAAACACAGATAACACAGTACAAAACCCAGTAAGTATGTTAGGAACATGATAGAAAAGTCAGTAAATCAGAGAGAGCAATGCCATGTCAGTCAGGGGAAGCCTGGGGAACAAAGGCATTTTTGAGAGCTGTTTGAATCACACAGTGGTTTCTGCTTTTCGAAACTCAAGTGTGTGCGTGTGTGTGTGTGTGTGGGGGGTGGTCCAGAGGATGGGTGCCACTATTGACAAGACGACTTTACCGGCTCTACTCTGAGCATGTGCTGTTGGTCAGAGAACAACCAGTAAGGCCTCTTTGGAAGACTTCAGGTTGATTTGGTGTATACAGGGGAAAACAACAGCCCTGGGTTTTTCCTGTGGATCTTCTCATGGAAAAAAGTCTTTCTTTGATTTATTTTCCAATGAAGTGTGCATTGGATTGCAGCTTTTATTCACAAAGAACTGTGGCCAAAATGTTCATGATTATTTTGGTTGGCTTCTGCTCTACAAACATCATTTTTCATCACAATTTCCCTACACTTATCTCCATCCAATCGCTTCTTTTCCAATTTACTATTTACTAAGGATCTGGGAATTTATTAAAAACATTGAAATACCCGAGTCCTTAAACCCTTGCTCATATTTTCCCAAGTAGAAAGAAAAGAAATAATCTTAAGACTGTTTATTTCTATTGACAGTGTGGGAATGCCATCTTTTGTTGTTGCTGCTGCTGCTGCTTAAGCTGGCCTATGCAAGACAAGTTTCATTGTCTTCGGTGAAATTATATCAAAGAATGCGCAAGCATCACTTGGCCATGAGTATTTATCAAAACGTATTTGGCCGTGATGGCTCGTTATCCAAATGTGCATCATTTCCAAAGGAAAGCAGGCAGGAAAAGCGGCAATTGTCACGGAACATTAGCCAATCTTGTGCCGAGCTGTAGATCTAAAATACGCACGGCACAATCAGTCAGTGACGGCACCACAACACAAATGGACAATTGAGAAACAAGGCTGATAATTGAAAAGGAGTTGTGAGTATCTTTTTGCAGGGGGCTATGGGGCATGAAGGAACAGGAGAGAGGGAACGAAGAAATGAGCAAACCCGTGAGAAACCATCCATGAACATGATGACTGCAGGTCACACCTGTGTTTAAAGGGACGGGTGTGACACGGCCATGTCTAACTTGACCTCGCCGAGTGAGGAAGTCTCTATAAGAAACCTGCGCATTGGTGATCTCCAAAATGCAGCGCCTTACAAGCAAAGCTGAAGCCCATGAGCTGAGGGTTTACATAAGGGACAGCAACTGGCAGCCCCTCCGCCAAACCTGCCCTCCCCCCAAAAGCCATACCATGTGGCCATCCCATTGGCAAAGAGCAAGGAACATGCACAGAGGGAAGAAGGCTCTGAGAGGGGGGTGGCCATCGCCTTGTGGCCAGAGAAGCAGGAAGCTGGAACGGGGAGGGGTCTGGAGGACTGGGATCAGAACGGCTTGGGGTCCAGCAGTGGTTAAGCTGCAGCTGCTTGATGTTTCTTTTAATTGGAGTGATCAGCTCTGGATCTATCGATACTCACCGTGGGCGTTCAGGGTTGGGCAAGCTGTCCATTTGAATTAACAAGCAGATAAATAAAAGAAAAGCATTTAATCAAAATAGCTGAAAGAGGAGTTTTTTGGAAGACTGAGCTGATAATGGTAGGGCTGGTCTCCCCCAAACTGCCCTTTGAGAATGTGTGTGGGCCAAAATGCCTCCCCCCAAATGTCAAGGCCTCATTTGCAGGCACAGAGTGGCCTTTTGCAGAGGGCAGTCCTCTGTCTGAAAGCATCCTTTGCTTGAAGGGCTGTCCAGCCTGGGTTTGGCTTGAAGCTAAAGGACCACAAGACGGAAGAGCAGGGTCTTGAGGTTGACCAGCTGCACTTTTGCACCTGGGCAGCAGACTGAGCAAGGCACACAGGTCACCTGCTCATAGCCATCTACTCCTTGGTGAGAGGTAGTGTAGTTCTATTTAAATTACAATAATTTGCAAATTTGCATCTACACCCGCATGTTAACACATGCAACTTTTATACTAACTAGCACCATTTGGGTTCCTCTTATTTGATGGGATGTGTCTTAATTTTGGGCAATTCACTGGTAGCCACCCTATAAATAGCGGAAGATTTTGGCTATTATCGAGAATAGGGGTATATGATTTTTTGGTGAGTGTGTGGGAGCTTCTTTGTGCCTCCAGACAACTGTTGACCGCCATCTTTTCCCTATTCGGGGGGCATTCTAGGTGACCAAAATGGCAACCAGCACAGTTAATGGCAACAATGGTAGCAGTTCGCTGTAATTCCACTCTAAAAAGTCCCTCAGAACAGTTGTGTGGAGAAACTGGAGCTGCAAGAGGGCTCTGGTGAATTTCTGTTTCCCTCCAAATCATGCATCTCCACCTGGAAATGTGAACTCCCAAGAGGAAGCTTTGCTCCCAAGAAATTTGCAGCATGTTTGAAAGTTCAAAAGTACAGTCCAGGCTTGCTATGGAGTTTCTGTCCTTGGAGGCCGTGAATTTCCCCCTTCCAACAAGGGGCAGTGGCAGAGTTGGCAAACAGGGACTCTCTGAACAGGCAGCAATGTAGAAACCCCGAGCCACACATTCCATCAACCTGGTGCCCTCCTGATGGACAGGCCTACATAATCCATGCAGGAATTTTGTGCTGGCAAAACAAGATAAATTTGTGAGGTTTCCATGTCCATTTTGAGACTGATGCTGGAATGATGGAGGTAAGCAGCTTGGTCTCTGTGAACATGGCAAGTGGCAAATTGCATCTGGTTGCCCCGTCTTATAATTTATTCATCAGAAATTATATGAATATGAAAAAACACACTCTTCTCATTTTCTTCTAAGTATAATAAAGTAAAGGTCTGAATGAAATTAAGCAAAACCATTCCTCCTCTGGCTGTCAAGACTCCCTTAGTTTACTGTATCTGTCATTCCAATTGAAGACAGAATTGATTTTTGGTTTATAATCTAGTATTGTACATTATATTGGATTTTTTCCTAGTGCATTATACCGTGTCATTCTGGCAGTGTAGTGTATTATTTTGTGTGTGTGTGAAAATGATTAATGACAGCAAAAGTAAATTGAGCTATTAGAGTAAATTGGAAGGGAAGATGTGAATCAACATGGCAGAGACTACCAAGGCTTGGTCTGCAGGGTTGGGTTCCAGTTTAGAGCTGCAGAAATCCATGAATCGAACTCCTAGAACTGAGCTTGCATTTTTGAAAAGGCAAAAAGAAAAAGGCAGCACAGAAGCAAATGCCACAAATACTCATGTTTTCTTCTGTAGGAATGTCCCTCTGTGCTCAAGTAATCTGAGGAGGCCTAGTTCGGGAGGCAGCAGCTCCCAGAATGCAGGCTAACCATTGCAAGAAGCAGGGCTTTTTTAGTGGTGGCTCCCTTCTCGTGGAATTTGCTCCTCAGGGATGCTCAGTCCCTTTTAGCTTTAGAAGGTGGGTCATATGACCTGATTACTTCAAGTGGCCTTTGGTGCAACCAGCCAGAAGAGCTGCTGCTTCCCAAACTGCCTTTGGCTGGACACAGCTGCTTTATTTGTTGTATGATTTCCATATTGCAGTGGTGGAGAAAGGAATCCCTTTCATGTGGAATTTTATCTGTTTGAGAGCCCCTTTGAGGGCTCTACTCGGGTTATCAGGCAGGATTTATGTAGTCAAATGCCAGTTCCCAATTTTCTTCTGTACTCCAGCATGAGTAATGAAGTCCAGGATGTATCTGCACAGATAAGGTCAATGCAGGCAGGAGCAAATTTAATTTTCAGTGCCTAAGCCAGGGCCAGCTCCCCGATTCACAGAGCCCTACGTGCTGCAGGAAAGTGTTTTCAGGTGTTATGAAAGGGTAGCAAATTGCTGGCTAGTTACTTGATTAATATTATTGTATTTTACTGCCGGGGCGTCAGGTACCAAATTACCTTGACTGGCTTTCAATATTATGCACTGCATTATTAGGCAGTTATGGTGGGTTCATTTGCTACTTTGCCTTGGGCAGCAAAATGGCCTGGCTTGGCCTGATCTGAGGAATTCAGGGATATGGAATAGGTTTAGCTCATCCTCCAAGTTTGTCCCAACCTGGACTTCTTCTGACAGACCTTTCCCACCTGGAATACAGCCCATGCATGTCTGAGAGGAGAGGGAAGCATCTGTGACTTGCCAGACTCTGCATGAGTGGCTGCTTTGGTGGATGGGAGAACAGGATAGGAGCTGGCGAACCAGAGATATTTGAACTCACTCTGGAATTCACTTTGGAATTCACTTCCATTCTCATTTTCAACCTGTTTTTTCCTAGCCTGAATGGGAACAGGGCACATTTTCAAAAATCCTTGCTTTCCCCTATTGACTAAAGCATAAAAATGCAGGTTTTTTTTTTTTTTTGAAAAATGCACATTGCAAAGTTCACATGAAAAACAACACATATTTTGAATGCAATTGCAAATCGGGAGCTTTGGAAATATTGAGAAAAAGCACTAACGCTTGTATCCATCTCTGGGACAGCAAACAGGATTTAGCTGCATGATTTGCAGACAGAAACAAAACTCTCGTATGTCCCTAGAGCGAAGGAAGAAAAGCTGGGATGTAGACTTGGAAATGCCTGGAACTCTTGTTCCATCAGTCCCTTGCCAAAGTTGATGGGCCTTTAACTCATGCACAGAGGGCCGCATGTTTCGGTTGGCCATGTACCGCCACCGGTGAACTCTGGCATTTACAGACACCTTGCGAGATGGGAGGGGTTCAGTTTCTTACTCTGGGCTGCAAGATTCTCACTGCCCCAGAGTCTCCAAAATAGGCTTTCCCAATCTGATGCCCTGCAAAAGCACTGGACTACAGTTTCCACCATTCCCAGGCAGCATGGTCGTGTGGAAGGCACTAGGGAGGAAGGGTTCAAAGCCTGGGAGGGGTTTGGGAGGCGCCTGTCTCTGCCACCCAACGGAGCATCAGCTGTGAGACTCCCTGTTCCCTGAAGTTCAGCCATCGGAAAACTTGAGGAGGGGGGATGTCTCTCGGACATTACAGAGTTAAGAGAGAGAGATTTTACCGCTAACAATGCATGGAAGTGCACATGACTCCACAAATACAGCATGGAGAGATCAGGGCCATCTGGGCCTTTCCTGTTTGCAAGACAATTAGGTGGTCCCTGCCGGGCTGAGGGAATTAGTTCAACTTAGTTCTCTGACAGGTAATGATCATGCAAACACCATTCAAATTTACATATTAGCAGATGTGGTAAAGATGTTTGCAGAGTTGGAGAAAGGATGGGCATGAGCTATCCTGCCGCCACCAGCAGCAAAAGCTAGAATCCTTCCCGAGGAAAGCACTTCCGAAAAAGAAGTGCAGTTCACTTTGGCAGTGAGTTACTTTGCTGAGAGACCACAAATCAGTTGAACCAATTCAGAACCATTCTCCTGACCAGGGATGGGGCAAGAGTCTTCTCCCACTTACAAAGTCCACAGAAATTTAGAACTAACAGAATAAACTTCAAAAGAACTTTTCAAAATGAGGTGAGCCTAGCGGAGGGAGAGGAGCAGCTTGTGAGTCAGCCATGATGTCACTGTTACTTGCCAATAGGTGCTGCTTACGGGGGCAAGGACAAGGATGTCATGGTGGTTCCCCATCCACCTTCAAGGACAGCCAGTGCATTAATGCTCTTGTGCAAATAAGAGCAAGCATGTTTCTACAGTCATGTAGACGCCACGTACCTTCTCTCGTCATGTCTGTAGGACGTGGAGCTGCGCCCGCTTGTCCAAATGAACATCTTAGAGGATTGGTCTCCACTGCCTCTCCTTACCGTGGAGGTCCTGGAAGGATGATGGTAGGACCTAGGAGGAAACAGGTACCCTTCATCACAGTGTGCTAGAAACCTGCCAGACCACATGACATCTGTTAAGCCCGGACTTGCTCCTGATTAGCTTGTCAAACACAGGGCAGGCCCTGCCCTCCTGAGGGTGGTGTTTAGATGATTCCAGGGGATGCCAAACCAGGTGGAGATGACCTTCCTCTTTCCTTCCAAGTGGTTCAATTGACAGTAAATGTTCTTCAGCTCTTCTGCTTCTTCATTTCTTTTCTTCCTCCCACCCAGTTCTGTTAGACTGAACCTTATCTTATTGGTCTCGCAAGTTCAAACTTTATTTCATTGCATTCTTTGGGCTTAGCAAGCCCAGCCAGGGTTAAATATGTCTCCTGAACCTTTCACTCCTCTAGCCGTCTTTGCAGGCTGTCCTCTCCCTGCTGCTTCCCGACAGGAGCCCCTGCTTGTTCCAAGCAGCTGTAAGATTTCCAACAATTATGCAGCATCCACTGTGTATTCAGAATGCACTCACCTGTAACCAGACCTGTGGTTAAATTTAAACCACAGTTAAAGTCCACCTTCTGCATGGACCTCTGATTGGTGCTGCTTTGTGATGCCGGGGTGGTGGAGGGAGGGAGGGAGGGAGGTCAAAGCACCTTCATTATGGAGATATTGTCTGTGAGGCATGCAAGGTAAATATTACAGGTAGTTTGTTTTCCTCCTCTCTGCTGCTCTCTAACCACGTCTCCATATGCCCTGACATGTCACAGAGGAAAAGAAGGACACTCGGGTAAAGTCTCGTAAAGTCTCCTGCCCTCCCACTAGGGATCACTGCCTCATCCCAATTGGGCCTGCTCTTCTTTGCCCACTGTTCTTCTCCCCCAGCCTGCATTTTTGGCAGGAGCTCTTGCAGCAAGGTGTTTATTTATTAATTACGCACATATTTATATGCCACCATTTACCTAAACTGACTTCAACAATGCTCTTTTATTACAACGTAAGAGGCCCGAATCTCAATAATGTAATAAAGCCCGCGTCTGCTTGATTTGGTTTTGGTTACAAATACAAACAAGCAAGTCTGTAGAGGAAAAGGTACCCTGGGTCGTTTATATTGTGTCAATACTGGCAGCTACGCATACATTTTCCTCTGCTGTTTTTTTTCTAGACAAAAGCAGAATGAGAATTCTGACTTATTTATTTATTTCATTGCTATCCAGGAGTTCAAGGTGTGGTGGGTGGCTGCCCTCCCATTTTATCCCCACAACAACCCTGTAAGGTAGGACAGGGTGAATATCAGGCAAGCAAGCTAAAAAAAGAGACCCCTACATCTTTTTATTAGAATCAATAGGATACCCCTTTGCTTAACAGGCCCAAATGGGAGGTGTTTTGGGGGGATCGCAACTGGGGACAGAAATCTGGCTACACAAATCCCCTCTCCATCTGCAGTTAAGCTGAGGAGAAACACCCCCACACACTCTCAACTGGAAAGCTTTGGGTCTGCATCTTTTAGGTGCCCAGAAGAGCCCTTGCAAAGGGGGAAATTTGAACCCTGGTCTCCCCATTCCTTGTCCCAACTAGGGCTGGGACGAACCCTAGGAAAAACCATCCTTTAGTATTTACGGATACATCCTGATGTTGCAAAGCAAACTGAACTGACAGGAAGTCAATGAGCATTCACAGGACGAAGTTTTTGCAACGGGCAACCTTCTTCTGCAAGGGGTGTGGTAGACCCGATTGTGGCTGCACGTGCTGTGGATGCTAGTGGATGCACAAGGCTGCATTCTCAGTGACCTTCCGCCCAGACGGCAGCTGCACAAGGTGTGGAAGAAGGATGCGGCTTATGCACTGCGCCCTTGCAAGCACCTTGACTGCTGGGGGTGCTAACCAGGAGCTTGGTTTCAGGACTGCTGCAAAATATCTGGAGGCCGGGGAAGCTGAGCCCAGGGAACCTGACAGATTCCCACCCCCAGTTGTATCCCTCACCAAGCCTGGTCTGAACTGCCCAGGCAGTGCCAAGAGGGATAAGCGATACCAGAAGGCAGGAATTAGCATCTGGATGGTGCAGCAAGACTTTTAGAAGAAGGGATTGGCAACCTACAGCCCTTCGATTAATTTCAAAAGCCCTCTGCAAGCAATCAGGTCAGAGCTCTGGAAGGAGAAATTTGTCCCTCTCTCAGCAATTTGCTGGCCACAGGGAAAGAGAGATGGGAAGGGAGAGAAAAGGGGGTGTCAGAGAGAGAGAAAGAGAGAGAGAGAGAGAGAGAGAGAGAGAGAGAGAGAGGGAGGGAGAGAGAGAGTAGAACTGCCTATCACCAGCAACCAGCCTTTGACAGATTGCCCCGCAGGGAATGTGGCCCTCAAGAGAAAAGGTTGCCCACCCCTGTCTCAAGGTGTGTGGAAGGGGCACCATTCAGGCTCCAAGTAGCAAAATGTTTGGACTGGTCTTGGGATTAAACACAGGAACGGAGGAGCTGGGCCGAGGACTGCCACGCTCTTTCCTCTGGCCTTTTGCCCTCTCGAAGTGCCCTCCTAGCAACCATTCCACTGTACATTTTCTCAAGTGGGAAATGTTGGCTCTGCTTGAGTTGCTAACTGAAGGCTGATATGGTTGCATTGTAGTCTGATCCAGCTAGGCCTGTCTCATGTTCTTATCAGGGGTCTGCAGAGTCTCAGAACTGGAGGGCTGTTTCTCCTCTGGCCCATCTTGGCTTCAGTTAATTCCCAACAACGTGCTAGTGTTGCACCTCATTGTTATTCTTAATACAGTGTCTGTCTTTTCTCAAACTCTCTGCTCTGGGCTTCCTTATAGTACCCCTCCCTAATGCCCATTGGAGTTTCCTATTTTGCTTCTGCCCAGCTGCAAGGTTTCCCTTTTGAACTCTAATCTTCCATTAATCCTACCACCAATTCCACAGTGTCTCTAAACAAACCCCCAGACTGAACTGCGGCCTCCAACATTTCCCTTTCATGGCTTTTTTACACAGATGCATGTCCTTAGAAAAAGCTCTCATTTCACAACACAGGGAACATTAATTTTAGAACCACATGCCTGTGATAATGGTGGCAGCTTCACTGCACCATTTTAAAGAGGGCAGTGCTTTAGGCAAGTGAAATATCAAACCTGGAAACTCAAATACTTTGGCCACCTAATGAGAAGAAAGGACTCCCTGGAGAAGAGCCTAATTCTGGGAACAATAGATGGCAAAAGAAGAAGCGGACGGCAGAGGATGAGGTGGCTGGATGGAGTCACTGAAGCAGGTGGCATGAGCTTGAGTGGACTCCGGGGGATGGTGGAGGACAGGAAGGCCTGGGGGAATGTTGTCCATGGAGTCGTGATGGTTCGGATACAACTTTGTGACTAACAACAACAACATCTGAAGGGCAATAGATTATCCAGATGATGTGACTTCATCAAATCAACCCATATCTGTTTTTCTTTTGGTAACTGTTATGTTACGGATGTATAGCTGCCCAGTTAATCAAACATTGTCCTGGAGATTACAAGAGCTGAGTGGAGCTGCCAAGGATGGGATGCCTTGGAGGCTTTCATTCACAGGGCCACCATAAATTGGAGTTGACTTGATGGCATGTAACAACAGCAGGTGCCTTATAGACCTTAAGTTCATTGTTTTACACTGACACTCAAGATACCAATGTTCCATCTACCAGTGGCTACTCAAGAAGCATTTTCAGCTACTAAGCAAAGGCCTAGAGAAAATGCCATCTCCTCACCCCTCCCAAAGATGCCTTAAACAAAAAAACAGGTTTTCATCATTCCCTTATGCACTGCAGAGCACTCTAAAACTATTATAGCCAGCAACTGGACAAATGCAGGACTGGAATTAAGTATGTGCCCTTAAGCAAATTTTCTTTGGAAATTTAAGGGATAGGAAAATCATGGGGTGCAATCCATCCCAGGACTGTACCAGTTTGGAGCACGAACATGGCATCCCTTGACATTGAGTTCTCTTGAGTTCATCTGTCTGACCTGAAAAAAAGTTTCCACAAAGAAAAGCATTTCCCTTTCCTGCTGGGTCCTGCTACTCACTCCAAATCCCCCCCCCCCCCGCCCGAAGAGTGTTCCACAGCCATGCAGAATGTTAGAACTGTTCTTGTGTTCCTGGATCCTTAGCAAAATGGCTTAAGGAACAACGGACTACAACTCCCAGCATGCCCCAGCCACCCCCACTGCAGCCCCACTTTTTTGCCTAAACACACATCTGATTGCTCCCTTAGTGCAAAGACGTCGCAAGTGTTTGAGAGACTCCCTTATGCGAGGGAAGGACTTGGTTACGACTTGCCGTCTCAGTGTGAGGCTGCTGTCCATCTGGGAAATCATTAATGCAGGCTGCTTCATTAGCAGGGTGAGCTATGGCAAACTTTGTCATTTCGTGCCTAATCTCGTGTAAAATCGTAACACTAATGACACTGCTGCAGCCGTGCCCAGAGGTCAGGCATCCACAACGAGCTCTTCAGTGGCTCCCTTGAGCTTACCAGTCACGGTCTGCACCAGCTTCCCTCAGCCTGGTGCCCTTCAGAAGTTCTTGGGCTGCAGCTCCCTGGGTATCCATGCTGGCTGAGGCTGATGGGACTTGCTGGCCCAAATATTTGGAGGCTGCAAAAGGCTGATCCAAGCAAAAGCTGCTTAATGGCATATACCATATGGCCGTCACTGGAAGTGTTCTTACTGGTTTCGGTAGACTTCCAGGCCAGACACGGCTTCTTCACCTTGCTTGGAATGCTTGCGTAGCTGCTATGTCTTGTTTTCATGTTTTACTCTAGAGAAGGTGCAGGGCCTCCTGATTTGTATTGGAACTCTAGGGAGAGCTGAAGTGGGCGCCCCAGGCTTATTCTAGAATAGAAATGGAGTGGGAAGGCCTAGATGCTAGACATGTATCCCAGCCAATGTTTGTTTTGGCTCTGAAATGGGTCATCTTAAAAGGGCCAAACTGTCCAGACTGGTCTGGACCATCTGCACCAGCTTTCTTGGAACCCTGTGAAACAGCTTGAGGGTTCAGGCTGAACATACAG